ACACAGTGGAATGTACTTGGGGCGGTGGGAGGGGTACAGGGGGATTGTGTACCAGGGAAGGAGTGTTTCTTTTGAAAGAGAGGAGCAAACTTGGGGCAGCGGGGGCCTGGGCTGGTAGAGAAGTGCAGCAGTGAATGAATGGAAATCAAAAATCTCTGTAAATGCTCATTAAAATTATTTTTTTAAAAAAAGGTGATATATGACTAGGTATTGTTGTCATGACAAAAGTCCAGAACAAAGGCTGCATAGTGGAGTAGACTTGGGGTGGGGAGGAATTGTCTAACAGTGAAAGAATTTTTTTTCTTTTACTTTTCAAAGAGAAGAGCGAACTGGGGAGGAAGGGTTGGGCTGGGAGAAAAGTGCAACAATAAATGAATGGAAATCCAAAATCTCTGTGAATTTGCATTAAAAATAATAAGAAAGGAAAAAAGTTCTTAAGGATTTGTCAAGTCAAAGTTTAAGCTACCTTTGAACATTTTGCTGGCTTTTTACTCAGTATTGTCCACACTAGTCTGAAAGATTTCTTTTTATTGTTTGATTAAATGTCATCTTTTTTATTTTTTCACTTAACGTTCTGGCATTTCAGTTAGCAACAAGTTTTTAAAAAAATTTTTTTAATATTATTGATTTAAGTTATTGATTGAAAGAGACTGATCCCCTTCTATATTTTTCTTACTACTAACTAATGCTTTTGTAAATTTAAATGGAAAATCCCTTGTATATATTGCTAGTAGGTTGCTGTTATGTCCTGAAACTTAAAATGTTGTTGTTGTTGTTGTTGTTGTTGTTATTGATTGCTGTCAAGTTGAGCACAACTCAGAGCGACTCTATGAACAAAATCCTATTGCCTTTCCATAACTATCGTCATTTCTCCAAATTCATAGTTTCCAGAGGCATGTAGTTTAGGAAGTGGATGCCACTGTTTTACAACTGGGAGCCCTACCACTGTCCACATTGAGAAACCATTCTGGTATTTGATACCCCATTGGTACAAGGTTCAGATATCCTCCAAATATAACAGCACTAGTTTAATTTAGCTGTGGTTAAATGCTCACAGGTGTGGCTTTAAAACCCTGCGGGGGAAGTGGATGGGACTGCTGGCTGGGTCTAGGAGCCTCCACTCTGGAAATTTGGCTGTTTGCTGCATCTGGATGGAAGTCCTGATGGGCACGTAAGGGAAGTTTTTTGGGGTTGTGTTTTTTGGAGTTATGTCTGATGTGTATTACTGCTCTTTCCCCCCCAAGAGTGGGTGTCCTTGAGCCTTTGCCTAGGGTATAAGTCAAAAGACTCAAAATATACTGTTGTTGTTGTTGTTGTTGTTATTTGCCATCAAGTCTCCTGTGCCTCATAGCGACCCTGTGTACAACAGCCCTAAACTCTGCTCTGTCCTGTGCCAATCGCACTGTCTCCACCCCCATTACTCCAGTCACTGAATAAATCCACCTCATAGAGGATCTTCTTCTCCTTGCGCTGTCCCTCCACCCTCCCAAGCATGACATACTACTTGATAAAAATTTTACAAATGAGAAATTTTAACCATAAAAAAAAATACATATCAAAGCTAAGAAAAGTTCTACAACAAGGTGGACAGTATTTTTCAGTAATGTGTTTTTATACCCCTGATGGTATGGGATTAAACAGTAAGCTGGTAACCAGGTTACCCACGACTGCTTTGTGGGAGGAAGATGTAGCAGTGTCATTTTTCTGATGCTGAACCTGCTCAGTTGAAACCTGGCAGGGTGGCAGTGAGCATTCCCCTCACTGGCAGTCTGTACCCATGTTTGCATTGCCCCACACAAAAGACACTGTTTAGCTCATTCAAGTCATTAACAGGTTGCCCCTCAGCCATGTGATAAAATAAAAACTAAGGGACTAGGAGAGCAATTTTGAACTATCAACCCACTGCATCACAGCAAGAGATTCATCTAGTGTTCTTTTTTCTGTGAAATTGTTACACTGGCGTGTGTGTGTGTGTGTGAGAAAAATGTATATTTAGAATTAGCCAGCTGAACCCAGTTTAGATGATCCAAATTTTGTTGGCAACATCCAAAGCATCATAATCAGGAGCAAGTCGAACATAGGCCTTCTTCTCTCCATCAGGCCTAATCAAAGTGTTGACCTTGGCCACATCAATGTCATAGAGCTTCTTTACAGCTTGTTTGATTTGGTGCTTGTTGGCCTGACATCCACAATGAACACAAGTGTGTTGTCTTCTATCTTCTTCATGGCTGACTCAGTGGTCAGGGAAAATTTGATGATGACATAGTGGTCAAGCTTGTTTCTCCTCGGGGCGCTCTTCCGGGGGTATTTGGGCTGCCTTTGGAGTTGGTGATGTACGGATCTTCTTTTTTTTGGCTGTGGACGCCCTTCAGGACTGCCTTTAATGCCTTTGCTTTGGCTTCAGTTTTGGGAGGGGCAGGGGCTTCCTTCTTTGCTTTCAGCGCCATCTTTGTCTGCATTGGCTTTTTAATTGTACTTGTTTTATATTTTGTTGAATAATACTTATTGTAGAAATTCCAAAGTAAAAATTCATTTTTTTTCTTGATCTAGGAATCTGACTCTAATTCTAAATCACCTGATAATCAAGGTTGCCAAAATTCCAAACTCAATTCATCTCATTTTTTCAAGAAAGACAAACTTCTCAAGAACAAGGTAAAACTTTATTTTTTTTTTTAAATTTTGAAATTAAAAAGTTCAGAAGCAATCTGCACATGATTTTCTTAATTTTATTTTCTTAATTTTAATGACCATTTACAGAGATTTTTTTATTTCCATTCATTCATTGTTGCAATGATTTTATTTTTTAAAAAAGAAAAAGATTTAAAATACAAGTATACCAGCATTTGTCACATTGAAACCGTCTGTTTTGGGTCTTGATTGCTTTGCTGGTGTTACCATTCTCAGAGGTTCCCTTGCAGAAACTTGGTATTGTGATTTTTTTTTGTCCAAACACCATCAGTAGAGAAATTGATATTAAAAGGTAGTATTAATGACAACTAAATGGGAGAATGACTAAAGGGGAAAAGCAGTGTTGACTTTAAGTGAGAGCCGATCCTAAGGGAGTTGGCACATAAGCCTAAGAGTGTACTCCTGTTGTTATTTATGGGAGTCTCGGCGGTGCTCATGCTAAAGACACAGACCAGAAAGACAGCTGTTCACATCTCACCAGAAACTTCATTTTGTGATTTATTGTCGAGAAACTGACAGTAAAAGTGGTAGTAATGACAACTAAAAGGGGCTGGGAAAAGATACAGGACTTCAGTTCAAAAGCCTGGCTGTATACGTCTGGAAAGTCTCCCGTTGCACCTACAGAACAGAGTTCCGCCCTAACTTGTGGGGCCTCCTTGAGCCCAGATGGACTCATGGCAGCTGGTTTCCTGGGAACATTTCACTTCTTTTCCTAATTTACACAAAAACGGCTCCTTTCAAGCCATGCATTTCTAGAACCATGTTTGTATGTGATTGTATGTTTTAAGTTATAAAACCTGGGGGCTTTGGGGGCTTTTTTAAATTTTAATGAAAGTTTATAGAAAACTTGGATTTCTATTCATTCATTGTTGAGCACACATTCTTGTTCACATTCAGTGATATCACTAGTCCAAAGGCATGTCGGATTTTAATCTTGTTTAAATTTTAATTTTTTTACCAAAACACTTAATTTTCTTACCAAAAGGCTTTCTGAAAATTGTGTATTCAAACAAGTCTTTTTTTTTTCTAAAGAAGTCTTTTAATCAAAATACGCAAATATTTAGGAGATTGCATCACAAAAACTTGTATGTTAAAGCATACTTTATATTTTAAATCTTCCTGCTCATCAATAGGAAAATACCAGCCCTGACTTGAAACTGGACAAGGCATGTACATGACCTGAGATCACAGAGATGGAATGGTACACTAGAAGAGCGTGTTCACTCTTTGTGCTCAGAATACAAATTAAAATAGACCATTTCTTTCTTATTTAATACATTTTTTTCTTATTCTTATGATTTGAGTTAAAGTTTATAGAACAGATTGGTATCCATTCATGCGTTGTTTCATGGAATTGATTACATTCTATCTTCACTTCCCAGTCTCCCTATAGTGCTTGTTTCCTCTTACATCCCTCAGCCCTCTCCATTCTGTCCGCTGAGTTCTGTCCTTAGACAAATGCTGCTGCCTTGGAGTTCTGGACCATGTTCTGGGAGTGAATGTCTCCTGCTCTTTTATTCACTTTACAGATGAGTTGTTTTTACCTGACAGATGTGTTTGGCCACAAGTTGTGCCCCAGACTATGTTTAGTCCCAAACGGGAAGGGTGGCTGAGGGCTGTAGTTTAAGGATTCCACCAGTTTCTATCAGCTTGGCCATTTTTATGGTTTTGAGGTTACTTCTACAATAATGCAGTTTTTTGCATTTAAGAGTTCTAAAATCCAATTTTCATTTTACTCTTTTTTGAGGGTATAGTGAGATATAGAGTCAGATATTTAAGAGATTTCACTGGATTGCCATTTCTGTAAAGCAGTTTGGTGATAATGCTTCTTGCCAGAGTTAGAATAGTTTCATCCAGGAAGTACACTCTAGAGCTTAAGTATAAGAAAATAATTTAAATCCACCAGACGCTTTGCTGGAGAAGGAGGAGCAATCTCCTCCTGTACCACTCAGATCCGATTTGACAGTACACACACAAAAATAATAATTAAAAAAAAAGAAAGAAAAAAAAATAATTTAAATGCCACAATGAATGAATTTTTATTTATTTTTTTTTAAAGTGGACTGGGGAGGGGAAGGGAGGAAGAGGGGATAAAATGTACAACAATGAATTAATGAAAATCTAACTTTTTTGTAAACTTTGGTTAAAATCACGATTAAAATAAAATTTATTTAAAAAATAATTTTGTACATTAGTTACAGTAGTGGCAAAATGGACATTAAATGTCTAACCCTAAAGGCAGGGAGCTTTGGTGGCCTGTAGTGATAAGGAGTTGCATTGTCATATAAAGGCATAGTTCAGATCCATCAGCTGCTCTGCGGGAGAAGGATGGTCAGCCTTCTGTGCAGTTGACTGCCTCTGAAAACCCACTGGATGGTCAGCTGTGAGTTAGTTCTGACCTAACAGCACATAACACCACCAAGAGCGTGATTATTAAATATGCTAATTTAGGTAAGTAATAAATAGTAATTAATGAATGGGGGGTTCCCCCTCTATTTTTGCTTGCATGTGATTTTTTGCATATTTCTAATAGCCATTTTGAAAATTTTTCAGTAATGATTTGTATATTCATTTGAATCTTCTAAGTGTAAATTCCATTGCCATTGGGTCAGTTCTGACGTAAAGCAATGCTACAGAGCCAAGCAAAACTATGCTATGAGGTTTCTAAAACTGTAACTTGCCTCATTTTTCTCCTGCCAAATGGCTGATGAATTCAATCAGCTGACCTAATTAGCAACTGAGCATTTGATCACTACAACCCCAGAGCAACTAAAATACATACTAATTTGAAAAGCTGTCCGTATTTTGTTTGGGAGTAATATGGAAAATTTAATAGAGAAATGTAATTTGGAGTAGTATGAAAAAGCATATTCTTAAACAGTATGCATAGTGAAGGGAAAGGCAATATCCAGGAAATATGAAATAGTTGGCTTTTGTTAAATAAATTAGTATGCATACATATACATGTATATATAATTATAATGTAAAAGGTCTAGACTACAAAATTGCTTACACTGGTAGATAGAATTAGATAGATAGAAAAGTATTTTGAGCTCTGGTGGCCTGGTGGCAAGAAGCTGTACTA